GGGAGGTGGGCGGCAGCGGCCAGGAGGAGACGGCAAGCGTCGGTGGAGGCGAAGAGTCTTTTCAAAGACCTGGGCTTATCTCATTGGGGGGAAGATATTCTGGAAGCCGTGCGCTGCCTCCGGACTTCTTACGCTTGGAAATCCCGTTTAATAACTTTGTTATTTGAAAGTTTGTTAGGCAGGGCGCCAGGGGAAGCCGCGTTACTCGAACGGTGGGAGCGCTCACTCTTTTTAAACCCCGAACTGTCAATTTTCGCAAAAGCAGGCCCTAAGCCACCAACTGAAGAGTGCTAACGAAATATGTTTTTTTTTTTATTCCCCTCCTTTTAAAAACAGCATTCGTGGCCTGATCCTAGAGACACACTGGGTAATGCTGCTTGTACAAATCAATACTACTTCCAGTTTAGTTGCTTTATTCATGTGCATAAAATTACAGAACATGAATTTTGGCTGGCACAAAGTATGATGTAATCTTTGGCCAACAAAAATACAGTAGTAGCAGCAGCAGCACTTCTAAATGGTAGTAAGTTCCCGTATTCCTCTATTGTTTAAATCAATGCAACTTACTCTTTTAATATAATCTCCTTTTTAAAGGCTAAAGAATTCTAGGTTTGTGCAAATATATTAACTTCTTGCAGTGCAAAGCCAATTTTGCTTTAATCTTTTTGTTTCCCCAGTGAAACTAGCTGGGTATATATGCTAAGCTTTGGAAAAAATAATTTCAAAGAGGAATCTGGAAGAGTTTTGAATTCTCAAAAAAGGATTATAACAAAATTTCCAGTATTTCAATAATATTATTTAATAGCGACAAGGTATTGTGCCAAATCCAGCTTTAAAGCATTCTCCAAAATCATTATTCTGATGTCACACCAGTCCAGAGAAGTAGAATTAACACTATTTGACCAATGTAAAGACTGACACAGAAGTGAAATACTGCCCAGGAAGACAACAGAAAGATGCCAAAGGAAAGATAAGTAAGAGCTCATTTGGGTGGTCTCACTGTTAGGTCACTGCTTGTTGGCTGCAATTCTTTTTTTTACCTAGCCCATATGGTCCAGGCTTTTTAAAATGCTTCTGCAAAATGGACTAACCTGGCCTCCTCGCTTACCCAGACAGGATAATCTCGTTAATCTCATAATGGCCCTCAATTTTGAGCATGCACTGGCTTTCGACTAGGCTTGTCTGAACAAATGCTTACCATTTTATGGATGCACGTAGCCGTACTCTTTGCTTCCTTCCCATCATTGTTTGCTCCTTCTTTGGCCTACTACTGCTACTATTTTTGTGATCTTAGAAGTGCTTCTGTACAAGCCAGTGCTGGTCTCCTATTCAGCAGCTTTTGCTGTTCTGATTTGCACTGAAGTAACTTTAGATTTTACTGAGGTGGCCAGGTTCACTGCAGGCTAGAAAATCAGCACGTGAATGAAAGGAAGTCATTTAATATAGCACACAGAAAGTTGCCCCGCAGAGACAAGGTGCAAACCCAGCATGCCAGCTTTCAGAATGAAGACAGGCAGTATCTCTTAGAAAGAGAATCTACTTCATGCAGGCAATCACTCAGTACCATCTATTGTATCTTTGTTTTGGTTTTTTTGTTGGTTTTTTTTTTTTTTTCCCCTGAACTAGTCATCTCTTCCTTCAACTATGGCTTTTTATATCCCACTCTAGGAGACAAAACAGCAAGAATCTGGACCAGAAAAAAAATCTCACCATGCAACCAAATTGCAGTCATCTCCACAACATCCAAGGGAGTGGTGATGACTCTTCATCTTCTCAGAACGCCCACGCAGCGAGGCTGTCAGGAGAGAGCTCATGCCATCATAGTGGAGATGTTCGCATACAGCTAAATTCTGCTGTGGGAGAAGCCAGGGAGAATGCGAGTTCCCTGCATTCAAGGCCAGGTTCCCAAAGTCACTCACACGGACATGCCCATGGCGAAGCAGGGGGGCTCGACAATTCTACTCCAGACTCAGAGGAACACAGTGGCAGCTCCCTCTCAGAGCTCAGATACCTCCTCCAGTGGCTGCACAAAAGTCTGCCGTACATCTTGATTCTGTGTGTCAAATTGATCATGCAGCATATAATTGGTAGAGTATAACAAAATAAGGTCTGAGGGAACAGACCCTCCCCCCAAAGGGATACAGTAATAACCATGCCTGAAATAGAATTCGATTTATTTTTAGCTTTATTTTTATTTGCTTTATTCATCAGAAAGATTTACTAAACTACATTTCAGTGGCTTCTGTTTCCTTTGCTGGCATACGTACAATGCGCTTAGTTATTCTGGCTTGATAGTCCAAGCTATTAATTGTAATTACAAAGACATACTAGAAGTGGCTGGGTTTTTAACCCAGTTCAGTAATTATTTTTTTTTATTTTCTTGTGTATAACTGACCCTTTTTTCCTAATAGGCATTTCTCTTGGAATTGGGCTGCTAACAACTTACATGTATGCAAACAAAAGCATAGTAAATCAGGTTTTTCTAAGAGTAAGTATCACCCTGTGCAACAAAATTCTGTAAGTTAACCAAGACCTTTATCCATCGATTTTTGAAAGAAATGTGAATGGAGATACTGTTTTATTTACCTAATAATATTAGGTGTCAAGGTTTCAAGATGGAAGTAAAGTCTTAATGCTTTTGTACAGTGTCGAGCTTCTCAGATAAGTAAGGTTTGCAAAATTCAAGAAGTTTTTTTCACCCTCCAGCTTTGAATATTGAAATCCCTTCAACTGATAAAAGCTTTTTGGGATTTGTAGATGTTCTTAATTGTATTTATGAAATCAAATAGCAGTTGACAGTTTAAAGTTTCAGCTGTCTCTGTTCATTCCCAAAGGAAAATCTGTTGTTTCTTCAGAGTGGGGTGGGTTTGGGTTGTGGTTTTAGAAACCTTGATACATGTAGAAATTGTTATGCTGAAAACATTAAAATTATTACTTTACCTTTCCATTGAGTTCCCCTATTTTATTTGCCCTGAAACCACTAAGATAAAATCCTCTAATAGTAAAACTCTGTTCAGGTGCAACAGACTTAGTGCTTTGGAGATACATTTCAGACACCCATACTGAGATAAGGACTGCAATATGTCTTTACCGTTATCTTAACAGGACCGGTGCTCCAAGTTGCAATGTGCTTGGTTACTACTATACCTAACGGGATCATCTCTCCTCTTCTATTACGCCTTTCATTCTCAGTCACTGTATTACAGGTAAGTAGAGGAACATCTCTACTCACCTCATAAATTACTTAAATATTAACTGGGAACACTTTATCTGGGCATTGTTTTCTCTTTCAATCTCCATTCCTCCTCTTCTGCCAAACTGAACAGGTGCTGTTCTTAAAAACAGTATGTTGGAATTTGTAAGATTAGACCCCATACTCAGTGGTACTACTGTACCACAGGGAACATAGCCGGGTTTATTTCCTAGCTTTGACCCTACCACCTTGCCTTCGGAATAATGAGCATGGCATTCTGGGGCTCTGTGAAGTGCATGTCTCCAATTCATTGTTTTTCCCTTTCCATTCTGTAGCTACAGTCTCGGCTGTAAAGCAGTAAAAGGTTGTATAGCTAAAACGGGAAAGAAAGCCTATCTCTAGAGGATGGAGGTTGTGAGGAAGATACAGGAAGGAAGGTTCAAAAACTGAAAGGTTGTCAGAGATCATAAATGATCAATTTGCAATCAAGAGTTCATTTTCTTAGCAAATACTTTTCCTCTATGTAAAACTAGGTTTCTTTTTTTTTAATTAAACCTGCTGTGATAATCTCTGGTTATGCTTTCCTCTAAGTAGGGTGCTCCAGTAACTTCTGATCATTCTTTTTGTAGCTTAATCTTTTTAAACCCTACTGTGGATTTTATGAACATCTGGGAGGTACTTTGGATTGTGGTAGTCACAGATTTTATTCTGAAATTCCTCTTCATGGGCTTCAAGTGCTTTATTCTCTTGGTGCCTTCTTTTATGATGTCCTTTAAATCTAAGGTAAGAAAACAAGCTGTATTTTTGCTTCCTTATTAAGATCCTTTTATGGTAAAATTAGCTAATTATTAAATTCTACCCAGAGAAAAGTCTTCTTAATTAAAGGTCCATATATAATCCACCACTACACTGGGGGTGAGAAAACCCTGTGGATTTCATCTTCTTCTCTGCTTGGTGCTATGGAAGGTTTACAGTCTGATCTGAAACAATTGCTTGTATTATGTCATCGGATAAATGGGTTTATTTCTGTCTCTAAGTGGGGGGGTGAAGAAACCTTTTATTTGCTGCAACGTAAGAACGTGTATACAGGCTGTTAGCATGGAGCAGCTGATGCACAGTAAATTTTTTACATGCTTTACAGTACGTGACATGGGAAGATTTTAAGATCTGGAAATGGCCGTATTTTCTGTCTCTTCAAAATAATTCTGAATATTCCTTTTGTTAATAAACCTAAGCAATATTTGTGTCAGATCAATGAATTTGATTGATAGCTTAATTCCTCAAACCAGTGAAGCTTAGTGATTTTTATAGAAGCCTACATTGGTTGGTGGGGTATTTATTTTTATCTGCTTCCCAAGGTGAGACATGCAAAAACCAATTAAATTTCAAAATAGCAAATACTAGTACTGTTTAAAAAAAAAAAGAAAGAGCAAGTACAGTTTGTACATGATAGCATTTGAACAGGATGTTTTGGTAGGTTCTATCTTTTCAAATGTACCAGGACAACCAATTTCTCTAAACACCAGTTTATATTTTTTTTTTTTTTAAAGCTAGTGATACAATATCCAAAAAAAAAAATGTTGAAAATTCCATGACACCAACTGTGACCTAAACTGTAGCTACATTAAAGAGAGAATCTGGTCAATAGTGGCAAATCATGGCATTTTCCAGTGTACGTTATAGAAAGAGTACTTCCCTGTTATAAACCTCGTTTTAAAGACAAACTTAAGGAAATAAAGTAAGAGCTAAGCTAAATATTTATGATTATACATGTGGACGCACACAGTGCTCTATGCAGGACACTTGTGCTTTGCAGTTGTTATTCAGTCATTTTTAGGGTGTCATTGAACTGTTTATTGTTCAGTCCAGCTACCCTATGCTTCTTTCTCCCCCTACCACCGCCATTTTCTTATCACCCCATCCTACATAGGAGTTAATTATCACAAGATAAAGCTTCTTACACAGGCATGAAATAATGTTTACAGGAAAACAGTTTGTAACTTACATTTGCTAACACTCTCATTTTTTAATCCTGAATGCAGGACACAACTCTGCTAATGACAAGCTGATGTACATGGCCCAATTTGTCTTACTTTCTTTTTTCATGTACCTTCTACTTTCTTTTTTAATGCTCACGAAATTAAGTCCAATAGCATTCTTAAGTACGTACACATCTGACAAAGCCATTCTATTTTAGCCTATTAATTTGATTTTCTGCAGTACAGCAATCAATTGTGGTATTGTTATTTGTACAGTTGTGCTGAGACTCATCATCTGGTCTTCATTCTTTTTCACGTTTCATATTTAGTCGTTTCAAGATATTATGAGAGGAAGTTACTCAAAACAGTAACAATGCATCTTTTCTCTATATTTTAAAAAAACCTTTGTGTTTTAAATCTTGAGCGATTCCTTTGCATGTCTTGCTTAGGGCTACTGGTACATGCTGTTAGAAGAACTCTGCCAGTATTACCGTATGTTTGTCCCCATACCAGTTTGGTTCCGTTATCTTATTGGCTATGGGGAGCCGGACAGTGTACTAGGATGGACCCTTGGGATATTGCTGGGCCTTCTCTACCTCATCCTAAAAGTATGTAAGCTTTATGTTCCTCTCAAACTCTTTTGCAGCAAGTATCACTGGAGGGTTAGAGGCAGATAAACAAACACATTTCTCAATGTTCCCCACTGTTTGAACTGACTTGCAAGTCGATGCTTCAGTTTAACTGATACAGCCTTCCAAAACTGATAGGAATACTGGCTCGGGGCACTAAATGAACTTTTTTCCTGCACCTGTTATGGGAATGGATTGAGGTTGCGTAGCAAAGACCACTGTTACTGTCGGTCCCCTCGCATCAGACATCGATCAGACTGTTACCAGATACTGAGGAAGAGAGCTTGCAAAAATAAAGGTAAAATTAATGGCTAAAAGAATCAGCGTTTCCCAGGAAACTAGATTTTCTCTCTGTGCTGGAGTATCCTGTGCAGTGCTAAACAAGTTAAACATAAGTGTTCATACTGGCTGTCCACTTCACCAAAGAGCTAATCTGCCCCAAATGTAACCAGACTCAGTACAAGTTAGGCTTTGAACACGAAAAATACTTTATAATGCTAATGTATCTTAACTGCAAGTCTAAAGACTATTGCATATATGATCATAATGCTGGTATATTTGCACTGGAGTGCTTTGTTTCAGAACCTCAACACTAGTTTTCTTTTAAAGAACAGACATCTCCTGAGGAAAGAAACTTCAGGCTAAATTCTTAATTTGGTTACACATTAAGCAACTAAAACAGGGTCAGTCTGAACTACAGCTTTGCTGATGTTCCTGCCAACATCAAACTAGCAGTGAGACTTCTAGCGTTGGACTCTGCACAAAAGCTTGGAAGCTTTTTAGTTCACAGAGAAAAATACTAAGCATAACTCAGGTTTTCTTTCCCATTCCAGCTTTTGAGCTTTTTTGGACAATTGAGAAACTTCAGGCAGGTCTTACGGATCTTTTGTACGCGACCAGTGAGTACTGAATTCTCTTATGACAAAACAATAAACCCAATTTACATTAAAAGACTTCTTTTTTTTAAATACCTCATTCCTATATTACTTTGTATTGTTCTAGCAATAGACAACTGCGTTTTTAAAGTAAACCCTGTATACTTGTTGTGCCATTTCAGTCTGAATTCCTTGACTACATGATTATGTTGTCATGTGAACAACAACAACAACAACAACAAACACTAAAAAAAAAAATCTATTCTGCATGTCTCTTCAGATAAACCTATGTGAAATAACATTCCTTTTTTGTCCTGGTTTCTACTTCTTAACTGTAATAAACACTGGTTGGATGTAGGCAGAGCTTTATGCTGAAATAGAGTGAGAATTGAAGCTTACCAGAATAATTGACATGCAAGTAACTTCTGTTAGAATTGTAAGTTCCTAGACAATCTTTCTCTGTAGCAAGAGGTGGTGTTAAGAGGTGTTGTTTAGAGTCTGCTATTCATGCAGTAAAACGTATAGAAGATTTTGGAGCACAGTGTCATTGAACTAAATAATAAAGCACTTCTCATTTCTTAAGCGCTATCTTGATCAGACTGGGACTTAACACAGTGTTTTGCTCAGAGGTCACTGTTAAAATAAAACTGATACAGATTTTTCCAGTAACTGTGATCAGGGGAAGATAACAACTACAGCATGGTAGTGGGAGCACATAAACTTTAGGCCCCAAGACAACTATTAAAAATCTTAACATTTTATTGGATTAGGGGATTGAATAGTTTTCCTGATGTAGCAGCCCTTATTCCCCATTTCTTTCTGTCCTGATATTTGTGTTTTGTTTTGACTTCCCCCCCCAGCCTAGAAACTAATATCTGCTGAAAATACCTTGTTTTACAGCACTATGGGGTGGCAGCTAGCAAGAGACAGTGTTCTGAATCGGATGATATTTGTTCAATCTGCCAAGCTGATTTTCAGAAGCCTATTCTGCTTATCTGTCAGGTAACACACATAATCAGAATTTTTTTTTTTCAAACTTAAGAATATTTTGAACAACTGGTAAACAAAGCTACATAAAGTTAGATTAGTGAGTGTTATGTCTTCTGACTATTTTTAGAAATCAGGCTATGCAAATAATATACCGTCTTATAAATGGAAGAGCTTAGAAGCTCTAAGTTCTCATTCTTTTCATTACAGCACACATTTTGTGAAGAATGCATCTCTTTATGGTTTAATAGAGAAAAAACGTGTCCACTCTGCAGAACTGTTATTTCAGACCATGTTAACAAGTGGAAGGATGGAGCCACATCTATGCATCTACAGATTTTCTAAAGCATGTCAAACAACTTGTTTTATAGTTTGTTTGTTCAAGCTAAGGTTTTTCAGTTTACTGCAGATTAATTTGTAGGTGGCACAAGGAACGAGTTTCCAAATTCTAGATACCATGCTTCTATGAAACGTTCCAGTATTTAAAACAGTGCAGAAAATGTTAACTTGACCTTCTTGAGTAAGTTTTCAGAATGAATGCAGAAAAGCCAGCATTGCTTCTTTTGTGATTCTTGTAGGAAACAATTGAGTCCTTGAAAAATGCTAAATTACTTCTTGCAGCAGCTTCTTAATTCAACATTTTATTTAAAACTTTAAGTAGAGTTCCAGACTGTACTAAATTGTATTTACCCTTCTAACATGACTCAACCCAAAAGGTCAATCTACCAGTTTTATTAAGATTACGAGTGAATTTTATACTCCGGACTACAGTGAGAATTAGAGCTACTTGTCACACTTGGCATTAAGGGTTCTTTAATGCTAGCCAATAGATCAGAGAAATTAGCTGCTCATTAGTGCACCTGTAACAGCAACTATTTCTCACTGTACGTGGAGATAAGCCACAAGAATAAGACATTTCCCCTTTAGGTTCTTGTAGACTTCTAATGGATCTTTGGCTTAATACGTAAACCAACCACTGATGTTAGTTTTTTACTCAGCATTTTATAAAGTTGGTATTTTTAAAACAAAACTTTAATACTATATTTTTTGTCGTAACAGGAACCAGATTTTCTTACAGGGGAGAATCTATTTTATACTATATCTGCAATTTGTAGTATGCCTAAAAATCAGAGAGAATAAATGCATTTAAATCTATTTGTTTGGTGCATGTTGAATAAAGAAAGAAGATCCGTTATTGTTTCAGTATTAACTTACATGAAAGCACATAACAGCTCACTGCTAGGTATACTTTTCCTGTTAAACTAGTGTCCCTGAAAAAAAACCTCCAAATGCTACAACGTATTCATGACTAGTCTTTATGCTAATTATAGAGCTAACCTATGTACAGTCTCACCTTTTTTTTCTCTTGCTTGTCTTTTTTCACCTTGCTATTCAGCTAAGACTAAAAAAACCCACTCAAATTATTCTGTTACAGCAAAGTAAATTGAGTTGCCATTAAATTGAGCTTGTCTTAACTGAATACCTTCAGGAAACTTCTAAATTAGGGGAAAAAACAGAACTAAAAAGTTAAACACTTACTTGATGAATGATGTAGCAACTCAAATTGCCAGGCAGAGTGACTGAATGCTATAAAGTTGCAGCTGACACAGCCAGATTTATAGGGCTGGCAGGGCATGATGGGAGAGTGCCCTTAAAGGTACAGCTAAAAGTGTAAAACCAGTAGAATTTAGTATTCTGAACAAAAATCTAATGAGACGGGAGATTCAAGCTAAGAGGTATCATTTTATGTTCAACCTGGGCTTTGCTATAGCATGCTAATTGTGTTTTTGTTTGAAGTTTGCTGCGGTTCAGAGTAAGCGTGCCCTATGATTGTTCCACTGCAGTATCTGAGTGACTGGGGAAAAAGACTCCAGCTTAAAGAAAACAGGCAAAAGCTTCCAAGTCTGTAATTGGAAACTTACGGGAGTAGAAGAGACTGGTTCTCATGGAAGCCTTTCCCAGCAGGTGAGGTACTTAGTTTGGAGAACATGCAGATGAATGGTGTCAGAGCAGTCCTGAGGGTGGCAGGGAAGAATGAGAGCTTGGCCACAGCCAGCACTGTGCAGTAATGGGCTCGTGCCTGTACCTCTGCTATAGTCAAGAACAAACTGCTTTTTGTTTCCTCGGAGAGATCTAGCTATGCCTTGCATTTGAAGTTCATCCAAGATCAGAACTGTTTGTTATTTAAATTTCATCAGTGCTGATCCTCAGACTGCTGCTGCAGCAGACCTTCCCTTGAGAGATGGACAAGAACTGAATCAGGGAACAAAAAAAAGGGTAGGGGGAACTTAAGGTTGGATTCTGAACCTCTGATGGGCCCACAGAGACTTCGGCAGCTCACTTGGTTATACGATCATATTTAGACTTTTCCAAACTTAACCATGAACACACAGTTCAGCTAAAGAGTGTTCTAAGGGTTTTTCTTCATACAGGCTTTGTGTGAGTGCTGTGTAAACAATTTGAGTGCTATATTTAATTTAGTGGACAAACAGCACCTTTAAAAAAAAAAAAAAGCCTTGCTTGTGCGAGTAAAATGTGTGATTAAGCCCAATACAGAGTTTATAAGGGCAGATGTAATAACCAACCCTTTCTAAAATATGGGGCTACATAAAAATTGTAACTTATCCTGGATTAGCTTTTCCTGAAATGCTAATACCAACAGCTTAATCACTTTTTAATACAAAAATCCTCTCAGAGAAAATATAAACTAAAATTCATTAGACTTGGGCATGATGTTAGAGCAAGGAAATGCACTCTCTAATACTTGATTAAATTAATTGCCTACCAGTAATGAGTAGCCATTCACCAGAATTCCTGTACTGTGACAGACTTTCAAAAATCTTTTTAGAACAATAGGTCTAAATCACCTAGTGTATTCCTGGAATATTAACTGGGAAGGTACGGATTCTGGGATGCACCAGCTGCTTAACACCAACAGTTGCCCTGAAAGCAGAGCTGCTACCCTGCTGACTAAGGGAAAAGATCTGAGCAACAAGTATGCTTTCTTATTGCCTTATCCCCAAGATGAGCAAATAGCAGCCCTGTTGCTTATGCAGCAGGGAATAGCGAGGAGGAAGCATGCCATTCCATCATAGAATCAAATCACAGAATCTATGATATTATGACAGCACAAAGCTGAAGTGGTCCATTAGGACCAATAGTTTGGACCAGCAGACCTAGGATGAACTAGGAACGTAGTTACAGATCAAGAAACACGCTGCTTTACACATGTACATTCAAAGTATGCAGGGAAATTTGAAAGAAATTAACCTAAACTAAATATTCTTTTGCTATAGGGTAATATAAACCACTTACCTCAACAAGTAGTTCAGCATCTGAGACAGATACTGTACATTAAGGAATTAGGGCATCAATGACTGTCTGTAAGGCCAGCATTATTACTAAAAAATACGAACCTAATTTACAAGTATTACACTTGTTGTTAAGAAAATTGACACGAGAACTCAACAGCGTCATTCGGCCTGTAAAGCTCACCAAGGCTATTTTACGGAGCACAACAAAACATGGTGTCAGTGCTTTAAGTCAGCCCTAGATTGTTGCTGATCCTTTGGTCTTTGTATCCCACATAGTAGCACCACCTTACTAGAATAAGGGTGGATATTGGTCAGAGGACCAGGGAACAATTTGTCTTGTATTCTCTCTCTCTGGTGTTGAAACTTATTTTTTTTCCTTTATGATCCAGTGAAAATTATCCAAACCAAGTAATATTATCAAACGCATTTTATTAAAAAAACAAAGAACTAAAAAGAGATTTTGATCAGCCAGTTTAGATTTACACATCATAAATGAAACAAATCATTCTTATCTTAGTTACAGAGAGGAAAAAAAAGTGAGTAACTTACATCTGTGAATGACCTCCTCTCTGCTCCGCTTGTCAGCATCGCGCTATTAAGATGCAACTCCTCCTTATCAAGCCCACTCAGGCCAGGGTAGCTGCCCTGCTTTCCACACACACAGACACACAGACACCCAGCACACGTCTGACTCTGCAGGAGACAGAACAGAGGAGAGGATGACAAATGGCAATCAACAGCCACTTTTTAAGAGCCCAAGAACCTAGGTGAAGGTACCAGCCCTTGGTAAGATGGACCGATCAGAACTAGCATCTGTCAGGTCCTTTAAGTTCTAAGCGGAATTCCTCCTCCCTCCCTTTCCCTTCAAAGCTGTCAGGAAATAGAATGATTTAGATCCACAGTTATACTTCAGGCCTACCTACTTCCTTAAAAAAAAATAAAAATAGGTCACTTGGACTAGCATATGTTTAAATTTGCACTTAATTGCTATTCACATCCATCTTATTCAGTGGTTGAGTATAGTTAGTTCCAGTAAACTGTGAAAGATGAAAAACAGAATAGGGATTACCTTTATTTCTACTAAGGCAGCTCAAGTTTGTTTCTTGAAGACAGCTACAAAGCCAAGTTAATCTAGAAGAGAACAATCTGTAGAAGTTCACATATAGGAACTGCATACAGTATATCATCAAGGATCTGCAGGAAGAATATTTAAGTAATTTGCCTTGTTCCTAATAACTTCTCCTCCTCCTCTACCCCTAAAGGTAAAGGATTTCCCCCTAAGCTAGGAAAATGAAACAGCAACTACCCTGGCTAGAGAGACAGAATTTTAAAAAACCCAAAACACCAAAACCCAATCATCTGTCCTAAGAACAACAGCAGCCTCCCTCAATGTTTGATGCACTTTTTGATTAACAGTGAGAGCAGGTTGGGAGTTAATATTAAAAAGAGATCAGACCCAAAGTAAACATCCACTGTATAGTAGGAGTGGACTCAAATATTAAATGTTCTCCAGCAGTTCAGCTTTCAGATAGCAAGACAAAAAAAAGGGATATTCAAAAGAACAATTGACTCATTTATTTTTATCTTTTATTATGAGCTAATACCAGGATGACATTCAAATGTCAGATGGCACAATTAAGACAGTCTTGGTAGGAATTATTCCAGCATTCCCAAAATTACAATTTAGTACACGAATGGCATCAAATGTATGCATCACTCCCACAGAGAAAAATTATGAAATTCTGAATATCTTAATACCAGAATAGTTTCTGCATCAAATGGGAAAAGAAAAACTGCTGGTAACACAGCTGACCTATAAACCTTTTGTGATAATGACCTGCTGAAAAAAATATTCCCCTATTTAATATCTAGTAAAAAAAAAAATATGACTTTTGTTCAAGTTTAAGATTTAATACTTTTATATGGTTAGCCACAACAGGTATTAACCTCAGTTTTACTATATTTTTGTAATGCTACAAAAATCCTATAAAATCAAATTATAGTGAATTTTTCAGTGATTATAATTAAAAAAGCGCAGCTTGTACAAAATAAAAAAAATAAGATTCTATACTCTAATGAAAAATTTAAGACATTTTTAAATGAACAAAAGAAAGCACTTGTTAAGCTCTCCCATATTCAATGCATTCTGCACTTATCTGAAATAGCCAGACAGGAGCTAGAACTCCACTCCCCTTAGTTCATGACTAGTAATTTTGACACTATTTTATATATATATAGAGGATCTATGTCTGATATTTTTACAAATAAATACAGGATAAACCATATTGCATAGTGTGTGCTTGCTGTCCGAGTCACACTCCAAAAGTTTCACAGTTATGGTAGGGAATTAAACTTAAAATCTATGGGATGAAACATCGACAGTACATGAAATTTAATTTTTAAACCAATGAATTGTATCTGTAATTAATCAGTGAACTCAGACAAACAACTCTTGCCATTCTTGCCAGCCATATTAAACCAATTCTACTGGACAATTATATCCAGCCAACCAAAAAGCAACTGTTAGCTGTAACTAGGACCAAGAGAGATCTGCCTCGAAAAAATTTTGTTTTTTTAAACTAAGTTCCTTTATACTCAGTAAACATGTTAGGAAACCTATGTTAACAAGTGGCACAGAGAGGCACTGCTTGAAGTGTTGCGTATTTGCAAATATGCATAATACAAACACATGAGCACTTTGATTTCAGTTTCACAACATGTCACCAGTGGCTGTATCACCAAATGAAAAATGGCAATCTTCCAGTACAATTTACGTCGCTATAAGGTAACTTGATTCTCCTTATAAAACTAAAAAAAAAAGAAATTTTCCAACAAAAGGCTTATCAGGAAGAAAAAAAAAAACCTAATTTTTGCTCAATCATAACCATCTTTTTCGTTGGTTCTTTGTTAGTAGCAACAAGATACTGATGAATCCTTCCGACTTGCAAATTTTAGAAAACAGCACTCCGATTGGGTTCAACATGCTTAGAGAGTTTTATGGCTTGGATCCTATGGCTCAAAAAGATTCAGTATACACAGAGTAAGCAGAATCTATAAAAAAATCCCTACTGTTGTGAAACACTAGAAGTAGACTTTGCACAGTTTGACTAAAGATAATGCAACGTGTGGCAGGCAAAAAGTGACAGGACTTGTATGCAGTTGCATGATCATATACACACACGCACGCACACACCATACGCACTCTAACTAGTGTAAAGCTCTGCAGATATTAACCCTTTCACCAGCTATGTTCATGGAAATGCTTTCTTTAAGGCAGGAAGTATTTAAATAAGGTAAAGTTACCTTTATTTTATTCTTTGTACCTGTAAGTCATTTGTACAGATTGTGACAATTTCAAAAACATAAATAGTGTCCTTAGAACATGTTTCCTAAATTAAGTTGCTAAAGTTCTGACCCACTGTGGAAGACATTCACTGAAAGGCCATTTAACACTTTTCTCATACAATCAGCAAATTTATTGCCCCAGCATAGAAAAAAATGTTCATAAATTTAGAAATGTGTAATGGCAGGGAACTCCCATAAGCAAAATTTTATTTAAAAAAAAAAAAAATATCCTCAAATTCTTACCCACTGGTTACAAAAAGTTTGATTTCCTTACACTGCGTAGAATTTGTATATGTTTCCTATATGTTTCTACTGACCTTGTGTTCTGATGCACTTTTTCCTGATCTTTTATATGGGTAAGAATCTGAACGTATTCGGCTGTCTCCATCTAAAGACTAGCGTATACAAAAGTGATGTTTCCCAGTGAAATGTCTGCTGAGGACAAGGATGAAATAAGCAGGACACATCTGTGAGCCCATGGCTTCCAGTTAAGCCTAGAACATAGCAGCATTGCCATCTGATTAGATCCGTTTGTCTTTGCAGGAACAGGTATTTCAGCTGGGTAAGCA